ACATTCACATTATTCCTAACAGCCAAAAAGCAGAAACAACCCAAGCGCCCACCATGTTGACAAATGCATACACGGAACGTGCAGCATCCATTCAACAGAATATTATTTGTCCATTAAAAGGAATTCAGCACAGATACATGTTACAACCTGGTCGAACCTCAAGCACAGCATACTGAGAAAAGCCACGTGAAGAACTCACATTTTTTTTAAAGGAATGATTTATTTATTTGAAAGTCAGATTTATACAGAGAGAGGAGAGGCAGAGAGAGAAAGAGAGAGAGGGAGGGGTCTTCCATCCGCTGGTTCACGCCCCAGTTGGCTGCAACGGCCAGAGCTGTGCCGATCCGAAGCCAGGAGCCAGGAGCTTCCTCTGGGTCTCCCATGTGGGTGCAGGGGCCCAAGGACTTGGGCCATCTTCTACTGCTTTCCCAGTCCATAGCAGAGAGATGGATCGGAAGTGGAGCAGCCAGGTCTTGAACTGGCGCCCATATGGGATGCTGGCGCTTCAGGCCAGGGCATTAACCACTGTGCCACAGCACCGGCCCCCAAGAACTTACATTTGTAAGAAGTGTCCACAACCGGCAAATCCACCCAGACAGACAGCAAATTAGTGGTGGCCAGGGGCGGAGGAGAAGGTAGACAAAGGATGACTGCTACTGGGGACCAGGTTTCTTTCTCGGGTCACTGATTATGATTAGTCTAAAACTGATGCTTGTGGCTGGTGCCGCGGCTCACTAGGCTAATCCTCCACCTTGTGGCGCCGGCACACCGGGTTCTAGTCCCGGTCGGGGCGCCGGATTCTGTCCCAGTTGCCCCTCTTCCAGGCCAGCTCTCTGCTGTGGCCAGGGAGTGCAGTGGAGGATGGCCCAAGTGCTTGGGCCCTGCACCCCATGGGAGACCAGGATAAGTCCCTGGCTCCTGCCTTCGGATAGGCGCGGTGCGCTGGCTGCAGAGCGCAGGCCGCAGCAGCCATTGGAGGGTGAACCAGCGGCAAAGGAAGACCTTTCTCTCTGTCTCTCTCTCTCTGTCCACTCTGCCTGTCAAAAAAAAAAAAAAAAAAAAAAAAACTCTGACGCATGTGATGTTTGCAATACTGTGAATACACTGAAAAATAAAAAAAAAATACTGAAAAATAAGGAAGCAAGGGAGGGACTTAAAAAATTAAAAAGATAAATCAGGAGCCAGCGTTGTGGCACAGTGGATTGGGCCACAGCCTGCAACGCAGTCATCCCATACGAACGTGGGTTCAAGTCCCAGCCTTTCCACTATCAATCCAGCTCCCAGCTAATATGCCTGGAAAAGCAGCAGAAGATGGCCCAAGTGCTTGGGCTCTGGCAACCCAGATGGAAACCAGGATGGAGTTTGATGGAACAAAGACATAAGCCTCAGCCATTTGCATTCACTGTCCAAAAGACAGATAAACACTGGAATGTATTCTTTGCCCTTGAATCTCAGTTGGGTCTCACAGTCTATGGCCTTCACACCCACCCTGCATTCTTTCCCATGTTCCCAAGGCCCCGCCCAGTTCCAAGAATTCCCCCCTGCCTGCTGCCCCCTACCCTAGCCCTCCTAAAATATAAAAAGAGCCCGGCCCCTGGGGGTCGGGGCCTTCTGCCATGGGTTCCATCATGTGTACACCCGCAGTTGGTCACCCCCCTCTGCGAATTTATTTTCTCTGAAGAAATTCGGTCTGGCTGTGGACTTGTGTACTGCCTCCTCTCTATTCTATGCCTCTTTTCCTAACATTTATGGTGCCCCGTGTGAGGAGGCACCAATCTGTGACTCTTTCCCTAACAGAGTTCCTGCCTCCTTGGCTTTGGCCCAGCCCGTAGTGGCAGCCATTCGCGGAGTGAACCAGCAGATGGAAGATCTCTCTACCTCTCCCTCTATATATGTAGGTCTGCTTTTCAAACAATAAATATAAATCTTTTTAAAAAATCAAAAGACAAAGCAATTTGCAGTGTTCAAACTTTACTGAGATCCACAGTTTAAAGAATACTCTGCAGTAAAATCCTAAGACAATCATAGAAATTTGAACATTGATTGAATATTTGGTGTTTTTAAGGCATTATTGCCAATTTCTTACAGCACTAATAACAGAACTGAGATTTTTTTTAAGGAGTCTCTGTATTTTTTTAAAGATTTATTTATTTATTTATTTATTTGAAAGGCAGAGTTACAAAGAGAGCAAGCTTCCATGTACTGGTTCACTCCCCAAATGGTCACAATGGCTGAAGGTGGGCTGGTACGAAGCCAGGAGCCAGAAGTTTTGTCTGGGTCTCCCACTGCACTCTGTGGGAGCAGGAGCCACCCCCTGCTGCCTTCCCAGGTGCATTAGCAGAGAGCTGAGTGGGAAGTGGAGCAGCCAGGACCAGCATCAAAGGCAGCAGCCTTACCCACTACTCCACAGTGCAGGCCCCAGTGCCTGAATTTAAGAGACATATAGTGGCCAGCGCCGCGGCTCACTAGGCTAATCCTCCGCCTAGCGGCGCTGGCACACCGGGTTCTAGTCCCAGTTGGGGCACCGGATTCTGTCCCGGTTGCCCCTCTTCCAGGCCAGCTCTCTGCTGTGGCCAGGGAGTGCACTGGAGGATGGCCCAAGTGCTTGGGTCCTGCACCCCATGGGAGACCAGGAGAAGCACCTGGCTCCTGCCATCGGAGCAGCGCAGTGCGCCAGCCGCAGTGCACCGGCTGTGGTGGCCATTGGAGGGTGAACCAACAGCAAAGGAAGACCTTTCTCTCTGTCTCTCTCTCTCACTGTCCACTCTGCCTGTCAAAAAAAAAAAAAAAAAGAGAGAGAGAGAGAGACATATAGTAAGATATTTACGGGTGAAATGATGCGATGTTTGGGATTTGCTACAACATAAGCTGAGAAGAGGGGCAGGAAGCAGGCAGGGACGTGGACCAAACGGTCAGGAGATGGTCACTGTCCAAGCCTGCCACAGTGAGGAGGGCGAATCATACCACTCCCTCCACTTGTGCGATGTTCAAAATTTTCTGCCACAATAAAAAAGGGCAGAAAAAAGAGGAACTATTTCCATGTCACATTATCTCACCTGTGCCAATTATCAATATGACCCACTTCCAACTACAGTCTCAAGAAACCATTTAAAAATGCCCTCAGACCACTTGTTCTGCCTAAACTACAATCTCTCCCGAAGGCTTTCATCCTAGAAGATTTTTCCTCAAAAGCCATTTGTTGGTAACTATCATTTGTTTGGCTTTAGACCTCATGTGTTTGCAGATTACATTTGAAAACTTCCCAAACACCAATACTAAGTCCCCCCTTGAAAGATACACTGATCAGCTTTTCCTGGCTTGTCGATTTCATCTTCACAATGAAGGCAGAAACCAGAGGGGTCCAGAACTGAGTTTGTGGCAGGGACCCCTAGGTCACATTAAAAAGAAAAGACCCGCAAAGCACGGAGTCCCAGTCCTTGTCCCAGACCGGAGCCCAGAAACAACCCAATTCCACCACACACGGTCCTTACAGAAAACAGCCCTAAGTTCCGAGACCACTTTAGCTGATTCAGTCCCGCAAACCTACCACACCGTCACGAGGTTACATGCCCACCGTGCCGGGACTTCCAGCATGGCAAGCAACCGACTCCACATCACACAGCTTCACGGGACAGAGCCAGGATCTGAACCCTTGGTGACTGGCCCCCGGCCTGCACTGTCACGGGGCTTCACCCTCGGGGAAGCCAGTTCATGCCCTCTCCATCTCCATATCACTCGTGTTCCAGATCAGAAACCTGAATCGGGTCTCCCCCAACTTGCCTCGGCCACAAAAGGTGGACCACTGCCCAGAGAACCTCCCACTAGGAACACCGATTTCACAGCAGAGACCAAAGGCACATTTGGAAAAAAAAAAAAATAGCTGGAAGTTAGAAGCAAAGAGCAGCATCCCTTGCGCCTCTCCTCCTGTGGGTCCCCCCAGAGATGACTGGGTAGAGGCGAGGGCCAGGGACACTGGAGGCTGGGCCTCGAGAAACCCCTGCTCAGCGAGGGCAACCCAGGCAGCACGAGGGTAGGCGGGTCCTCCTCATAAGCCCACATCCCACAGAGGCATCCCTGAGTCACTCCCGTCTCCACACACAGCACCCAGGAATGACTTAGCAGCAAAACACCAGCTTGCTCGCAGCGGGGGAAGCACGGTGAGCACGCAGCCCAGGGCAGGGGGCCCAACTTCAGGAACCCGGAGCCCAAGGAAACGCGGCCCACACCCCCCTCTGGCAAACCAGCCCCTCGCCCGCGAGTGGGGAGAAGTTTGGGCTGGGAAGGGCAGGGCAGCGGTGCCCAGAGGGGCTCAGCCTCGGACAGGACGAGAGAGAGACCCCACCACCACCACCGCCGCCGAGTTCAGGACAAGCATGGGAAGGGGCTGGAGGAGCAAAGGAAAACCCCAAAGTAAAAGCCAGGCACAGAGAGGGCAGCTGGTGAGGGGTGCAGCACAGCACGGGGGACAGAGGCGGAGGGCACCCGAGGGAAGGCGAGGGCGCCGGAGGAGTGAGGGGTCTGGGGAGCTGCAGGGACATGGGGGTCCTGGGGTGGGCAACCGCGGAATGTCTGAGGAGACCGCAGTGACGGGGACAGGGGCTGCATCAGGGGACTGCCTGGGGGTTGGGGCCCGGCACCTGGAGCCGGGACCCAGCGATCCGGTTGTAGGGAGGGTCTGAGACCTCGGGGGCTCGGAACCCGGGGTCACTGAGCACGGGGATCGGATCGGAGGACTGGGCGGGACTGGGGGGCAGGGGTCCGAGAGCTGGCTGTCACTGACGGACAGGAGTCAGGGGACCAGGAGCTCCCGGCCTCCGGAGGTCAGAGAACTGCGGGCGGCAGGGGCCAGGACCCGGCGCGCTGATGGCCGGGGGTCAAGAAGCCGGGAGCGAAGGGGCGGGGGACTGCGAGCGAGCGGGACACGGGGGCCGGAGAGTCCGGCTGGAGCGGCGGGGGTCGGGGCGGCTGGGGCGGGTGACGGCGGCGGGACCGCCACTCACCGCTCATGATGCCGCTCCCGGGGCCGGTGCCTGCGCCGCCGCCGCCGCCGCCGCCTCTGCAGCCACCGAGCTCCAGACAGGCCGGGAGACAGCGCGCCCCGCCCCGCAGCCCCGCAGCCCCGCCCCGGAAGCAGAGCGCCGTCGGCGCCGAGGCCCCGCCCCCCGCCCCGGAACGTAAACACGGGCGCCGGCCCGGGCCGCGAGTGCTGCGGTGGGGTCGCGGCGCCTCGCGGGGAGACCCCGGGTGGGGAAGTAGGCTCCTCGCGCTCCCCCTCTTCGTGGCGCAAGGAGACGGGACCTCGAGTAATGAGGCGACGTGGTTCCGGGACGGGTAGGAGCTGGAGGGTCGTACCCCAAAAGTAATGGCCAGAGCGCGGCCGCAGGGCCTCAGGACCCCTGTGAAGAGGCGGCTGCTTGGAAGCGGAAGGCTGGGTGCTGAGAGGGCGCCGGCCCCAGAGGACCCCACAGGACAGGTATTCCGGAAGGAGCCGCGAGGCCGCCACCCCAGGGAGAGGGCGTCCCAGGCCCGCCCGAGGACCCAGGTTTTCCGTCCGGCTCGGGATCTCAGGCCTCTCCCTTCCCGGCTGGTTAGGGGGCTGCTGGGTTCGTCCGCATGTGCGGGGTGGGGGGCTGCTGCGTGTGACCCGCGTGCTGCACGCTCACAGCAACCTTACAGGATCGGGTCACGGAGAGAATGGGCACCCGGCGAGGTGGGGGGCTAATTTTTGTATAAGTCACAGTGTAACTTTTTTTGTTCTTTGAAGATTTATTTGGAAGGCAGAGTGACAGAAAGAGAGGGAGGGACTGAGAGAAAGCTGTCTTCCATCTGCTGGCTCCCTCCCCAAATGGCACGGGAAGCGGGAACTCCGACCTGGTCTCCCATGTGGGTGGCAGAGGCCCAGGCAGGTGGGCCATCGTACGCTGCTTTCCCAGGTGCGTTCTCTGGGAGCTGGATTGGAAGTGGGGCAGCTGAGACTGGACTGGTACTTCCATGTGGTTCGCCTGGGATGCAGGCAGGTGTGGGCGCCACTTAAGCCGCTGTACCACGGCGCCAGCCCCAGGGTTGAAAGCCTGGCACCTCAGCTGGTTTCACATCACAGCTCAGTACTCACGTGCAGACATTTAATAGCCATTCCAGTGTGGGCATCCCAGGTGCAGTTCTACCCACTGAGCCAGATGCCCACCGCCTTTTTCTCTCTCTTTTATTTTTTTTAATGTCATCTGAGACTTGCTGACAATGGAAAACACTGAACAGAGGACCAGGCCCTCCTAGGAAATGAAGCCAGGACTGCAGACCACTTCTGTGGACCCAGCCCCTCAGTCCTGCTACTACACTGCTGACATGGGATAGGCAGGCAGCTAGTTTAGGATCACTGAGCTGGAAGTCACAAACCCCCTCCCCATGTGCAGTTCTGTTCTGGCCGAGAACTGGGGGGGGTTGAGGGGGCTCTTTCTTCAGCAGGAGACGACAGCTAAAGGAGCCGCTGCGGTGGTCTCTGCTTTGCCTCCCACACCCCCTTTTAGGCCCACTCGTGATGGTTCTCTCTGTATGTGGGGCAACCCTTGCTCGTGTGTGTGTTTATAGATTGTGTGTGCTCACTTTATCATCTTTAAATTTTACCTTTTATATGGCAGCACCTAGAATGCTTCTCTTGTGCATGACAAGGACCTGGAATAAAGATTAATACCCTACACCCCCACTTCATTACCTCTCAACACATGATCCCTCAACTCAGCAGAGACCCGGAGCTCTTTGGAGGAGGATGCTTTTGTAGCATTATTTATAGCAGTGAAACAGTGGAGGCATCAGTCCACCCACGTTCAAGTAGTTCAGCAAACAGCTCAGCTCTCACAACTAAAATGTTATTTTTAAAGATTGGAAGTGTAGGGGCTGGTGCTGTGGTGCAGCGGGTTAATACCCTGGCCTGAAGCGCCAGCATCCCATATGGGCGTCGGTTCGAGACCAGGTTCAGATCCAGCTCTCTGCTATGGCCTGGGAGGGCAGTAGAAGATGGCCCAAGTCCTCAGGCCCCTGCACCCCCATGGGAGACCCAGAAGAAGCTCCTGGCTCCTGGCTTCAGATCGGCCAGGATCGGCTCCAGCCATTGCGGCCAATTGGGGAGTGAAGCAGCGGATGGAAGACCTCTCTCTCTCTCTCTCTCTGCCTCTCCTCTCTCTGTATAACTCTGACTTTCAAATAAATAAATCTTAAAAAAAAAAAAAAAAAAAAGATTGGAAGTGTGGGCGCCGGTTCAATTCCCTGCTGCCCAAGTTGTAATCTAGCTCCCTGCCAGTGTGCCTGGGAAAGCAGCAGAGGATGGCCTAAGTTCTTGGGCACCTGCACCCACATGGGAGACCTGGATAAAGCTCCTGCCTTCAGTTTGGACCAACTCTGGCCATTGCAGCCATTTGGGGAGTGACCCAGTGAATGGAAGATATCTCTCTCTTTCTCTCTCTCTCTTTCAAATGAATAAATCTTAAAAAAAAAAATAAATAAAAAAGACTGGAAGTGTGGGGAAATACTAGTGATAGTATTTGAAGTGAAAAAGGCCCTGTGTGAAAGAGTCCACGCGCTGTGCTACTGTTGTGTCCGAATACGGCTGTGTGTAGGGACCATGAGAGAATGTAAGAATGAGAGCTCTTGTGTTTGGTTGACGTGGGGATGTTTTTTCCCCGCGTCCACAATTGTGTCTTACTGTTATGGTGAGTTTGCTGTTTGTTGTACAGAGTCGTCGTGTCTGAATCCCCCTCCTAGAAAACCTGGTGTCACTGCCTACCTCTAACCTCCGGCAGAATGTCACTCACCTGCCTCGTTGGGCTTGGCATGAAGCCCCGTGTCATCCCTTCCTGTGGCGCCTTGCACCTTTGTAGCGTTCCCGGGTGGGGTGATGTACGCATCTGGTTTGTGTGTGGTATTGTGTGAAATACGTCTGGTCTTTGTCCCTGTCTCCGTTAGGTAGGAAAGTAGCCCATGGGTGTGAACGAACAAAAATGGGAATTCTGTGCCGTAGCAGGCAGGAAGAAGCATGGAAACAGAGCAGCAGCTGCCCATCAGAAATCTTGCTGGTGTCTGATAACTTTCTTTAGTGGGTGCCAGCCCTCCACGGCGGCAGCTTGGAATCTTCCCCACGCTCTGCACCGATTAAAGTCCAAGGTGAAATTCACGAATTCCTCACCCAGAATGCCCTCCACCCAGCAGTATCCCATACCTCTACAGACTCCATTCTGATTGCAGGTGGCGCCCTCAGTTCTGTGCTGAGAGGCCCAGCTGGCATGGCGGGTGTACTCTCTTCACTAAAGTCAGCCAGCAAGCTTACTGCTACTCTCGGTCTCAGATTCTGAAATTCTTGCATGGCGGCAAGGACCTCTGATCCACTTACATCTCCAGTCACAGAGCTTGTAAAACGCCTGAAGTGTCCTCAGTGTTAGGAATGTCTTTCCTTACTCACAGTCAGCCCTTTTGGATCACACCAGAGTTTATGCTGATGCGATTATGTAGGGCAGGAGCCCTGGCAAGCCTCATGGTGGGCTGGAAATCACTAAGACCAAATGCTTGGAGTGTTGGGAGTTTTTAGCCCCACCCACTGACTTCTGAAGGAGGGGTGGAGATGAAGCTTTGTAAAAGCTCTTGGACTGGGCTGGTGCCATAGCTCAATAGACTAATCCTCCGCCTTGCAACGCCGGCACACCGGGTTCTAGCCCAGTCGGGGCGCCGGATTCTGTCCCGGTTGCCCCTCTTCCAGGCCAGCTCTCTGCTATGGCCCGGGAGTGCAGTGGAGGATGGCCCAAGTGCTTGGGCCCTGCACCCCATGGGAGACCAGGAGAAGCACCTGGCTCCTAGCTTCAGATCAGCAGGGTGCACCGGCTGGGGCGGCCATTGGAGGGTGAACCAACAGCAAAGGAAGACCTGTCTCTCTGTCTCTCTCACTGTCCACTCTGCCTGAAAAAAAAAAAAAAAAAAAAAAACTCTTGGACTGAAGGTTCGCCTGGCCCTTAGAAATCAGGCTACACAGGCCGTCGAGTAGCTCGCTCTTCTGCCGTGTGGGGTCACAGCAAGGATGGCCTCGCCTGGTGCCAGCGCCTTGACTCGGGACTTCCAGCCTGCGCATTGAGAAAACTGATTTCCTTATAAATTGCCTGGTGTCAACATTGTGTTAATAGCAGCACAGACTAAGCTAGTTGCTCCTGTGTTAGCTTGCACTGACTCAGTTTGTATCATCTGTAAAATGGACATAATAGTCATCTTCCTGCCTTGTTCTGGAGTACATAAAATGAGTTAGTAAACGTAAGGCACTTAGAACAGCCCCAGGCTGTCATCAGTAAGTCTGCCTAAGGGTTAGATGTGAGTATTTTATCAGCCACCTGCATTTGGGCTGAGAACTTCCTAGTACACCTTGGTCATGGTTTGCAGCTTCATATTAGTTTCTGAGATTATATTAATGCCCAGTCCCTCCATGAAGCTGGATGCTCACAAGGCCAAGAACCACTTATGCATTGCACACTGGCTTAGTGTCGCTGACTCCAGCCTTCTGCTCACAGAGCATGGCATGACCTTGCTTTCCCTTCACAATAAAGAGAAAACCCCCTTTGTCCTGAGATGTATGTGTGTGTGTGTATACAGGAGAGAGGTAATCAACTTGTAGAGCTGGGAGTATGGGATCTGCAGATTGCAGTGCCTTTTTATTTTCCAGTGAGTCAAGAGTTTAATCATAAGACCAAAGAAGTTTCCACAGTTAAGCTGTTAGCAATAAGATACAGAAAAGTATGTAACAGAGTTTGTAGAATCAGAGGACAAAAAGCTATAGCAGCAACTGATGAATACAATCACCCCATACAGATCTGATTCGTCACCTTTCCCTCTCAATATTCTACACCGGTCAAGAGGATTAACTACGCAGTAGAAATTGACTTTTCTACCCCTGTAGTGCTTGAAGCAAGTGGCAGGCTGTTGGAATAGTCATTAGTTTTAGTGGTAACAAGAATGGTTGCGCCCTCCTCCATGGCTGGGAGTGGGAAGAAATGATCAGAATCGACCTTTGGTTTGCTCTTGACGCAGTCTTCACAGGTACACTCTTCCACCGTGTACCCAAGGCCTCTGGGTAGAGTTCTTTCATCACCAGTTCTGCTGCCGCCCAGGCCAGCATTAGCCACGTCCAGGAGAACCGATCCTGATTATGCAGAAAGAGAAACATGAACCTGGCTCACAGCAGTGTGGTTGTGACTGACCTAAGTAAACATCAGGACTGAAGGAGTGAGATGTCCTACACTGGAAGTCACACGTAACCGCTGTGAGCTCCCCTTTGACAGAGCCTCTGCTGGGCCCTCTGGGAGCATTTGTCACACACTTAGCCTTTGCAGGCACTGAGGTTTCGCCCCTGTGGAATGCATATAGAAATGAGAGATCATACCAGAGGTTACTGCAATCAGCCAGTAGGTGATAACTTTAGGTTTCAGAAGTAAAGATGCTACTTTAACAGAACATCCTGCAGCAGATGAACCTTTAAAAAACGAATCTCTCTGGAGCCAGCACTGTGGCGCAGCGGGTTAAGGCCCTGGCCTGAAGCGCCAGCATCCCATATGGGCGCCGGTTCTAGTCCCAGCTGCTCCTCTTCCCATCCAGCTCTCTGCTGTGGCCTGGGAAGGCAGTGGAAGATGGCCTAAGTCCTTGGGCCCCTGCACCCACGTGGAAGACCTGGAGGAATCTCCTGGCTCCTGGCTTCGGATGGGCGCAGCTCCAGCCATTGCGGCCATTTGGGGAGTGAACCAGTGGATGGAAGACCTCTCTGTCTCTCCCTCTCTTTTTTTTTTTTTTTTTTTTAATGTTTGCTTATTTATTTCAAAGAATTACAGGAAGAGAGAGACAGAGAGACAGAGACCTTCCAACTGCTAGTTCACTCCCCAGATGACCGTAATACCAGGGCTGGGCCAGACTGAAGCCAGGAGCTTCATTCAGGTCTCCCATGTGGGTGCAGGGGCCCAAACACTTGGACCATCCTCCCTTCCTAGACACATGAGCAGGGAGCTGAATTGGAAGTGGAGCAGCTGGGACTCGAACCAGCACCCAAATGGAATGCCAGTGCTGCATGCTGCCCGTGACGGCTTAACCTGCTGCACCACTGTCTCTCCCTCTGTCTGTAACTCTGCCTCTCAAGTGAATAAATCTTTATAAAGAAAAAAAAAGTCCATTGTGTCCCCATGCTTTACTCCAGAAAGTAAGTTTCTTTACTTCCAGTGTCCCACAGTGTGACACCATCTTCCAAAATGTCACACTTGGAGTCACTCTTCAAAACAAGCCAGACACAGGAAGGTTACTGCATGATCTCACATAGATGTGGAAGTTAAAGAAGCTGAATACACAGAAGACAAGACTGAAACAGTGGTTGATAGAAGTGGGAGGGAAACCGGGAGATGTTGGCCAAAGGATGTAATGTCACAGTTACACAGGATGACTATAATCTAGAGACCTGATGTATAGCAGAATAGCTGTAGTTAATAAGTCTGTGTTGAGGGGGCCAGCATTGTGGCACAGCAGGTTTTAAAGCCCAGGCCTGAATCGCCGGCATCCCATGTGGACATCAGCTCTAGTCCCAGCTGCTCCACTTCCGATCCAGCTCCTTGCTAATGCGCCTGGTAAAGTGACAGAAGATGGCCCAAGTGCTTGAACACCTGCACCCGCATGCGAGATCTGGAAGTGGCTCCTGGCTCCTGGCTCCTGGCTCCTGGCTTCGGATCGGCTCAGATCCAGCCATTGTGGCCATTTGAGGAGTGAACCAGCATATGGAAGACCTCTATCTCTATCTCCACCTCTCTCTCTAACTCTGTATTTTAAATAAATATTAAAAAAAAAAACTTGAATACTGCATATTTGCCAAGAGTAGATTATGTGTTCTTGCCACCAAAAGTGAAAAAGTAACGATTTAAGGAGATGGGTATGATAATTTAATGGACTGTAGTAGCCATTTCACCATGCACAAGTACACCAAAACGTTTTGTTGTCACTGTGGGTATTCTGGCACACTGGGTTAAGCCACTGCTTGGGACACCTGCAACCTATATTGGAGTGCGGGTGCGAGTCTTGCCTGCTGTGCTTCCAGTCTAGCTTCCTGCTAATGCATCCTGGAAAACGAGATGCTAGCTCAGGTCATTGGGCCCCTGCCACCTACATGGGAGACCGGATGGGTGGACTGCAGGCTCCTGGCTTCAGACTGGTCTGACCCTGGCTGTTTGGAAAGTGAACCAGCAGATGAAAGATTCTCTCTGACCTTCTGCCTTTCAAGTAAATGAAAATAAATAAGAAAAGTTTAAGAACTATATTTTGTACTTGAAATATATACAACTTTTATGTTACAAAAAAAAAAAAAAAAAAAAAACTTCACTCTCTTTCCGTATCTTATCAGGCCCCCAGGGAAAGAGCGAATTTCATGGAGCAGTCTTGTACCTCCTACTGTATAAGCAAGCAAATGAGGTAGATGCTTTATAGATTCTGCATGGAAAATAAATACGTAAAGACATAGGGCAGCATCTGCTACCTATTGGGGAATCCAGCCACAGGCAAAGGTGTTGCAGGAATTTACCTTCAGAGGCCTGAAGCAGAACCTCTGCCTCTGGGCTGTGTCTCTGCTGCCGAATAAAGAATTATTTTAGAGATGATAGCTCAGGCATCCAGGTAACTGGTTATTCATTTCCAGCATTTTTCCCTGTGAAAATATTGACCTAAGCAAATGGCATATGTGAAGGCACCTCAGGAAGTTCGTGGAGGGGTTGGTGCTGTGGCATAGCGGGTTAAGCTGCAACCCCTGGATGCCAGTTTGAGTCCCAGCTGCTTCACTTCTGATCCAGCTCCCTGCTAATGTGCCTAGGACAGCAGCAGGGGATGACTCAAGTCCTTGGGCCCCTGCATTCACGTGGGAGACCCAGATGAAGCTCCTGGCTTCAGTCTGGCCCAGCCCTCACCATTGCGGCTATTTGGGGAGTAAGCCAGAGGATGGGAGACTTCTCTCTGCAAATGCCTCACCCTCTCTCTAACTCCACCTTTGAAATTAAGTAAATTTCTTTAAAAAGAAGTTTGTGGAGGTAAGAAACACAAAAATAAGTTTATATTTTGGTGCAAAAGAAAAACCCATGCTTATCAGGAATCTTCAGAGAGTTCATGAAAAATGCATATCATGGAAAAATGTGTGGGCCGGCACCGAAGCTCACTAGGCTAATCCTCCGCCTGCGGTGCCGGCACACTGGGTTCTAGTCTCGGTTGGGGTGCCGGATTCTGTCCCGGTTGCTCCTCTTCCAGGCCAGCTCTCTGCTGTGGCCCAGGAGTGCAGTAGAGGATGGCCCAAGAGCTTGGGCTCTGTACTGGCATGGGAGACCAGGAGAAGCACCTGGCTCCTGCCTTCGGATCAGCGGGATCAGCGCAGTGCGCCGGCCGCAGTGGCCACTGGGGGGTGAACCAACGGAAAAAGGAAGACCTTTCTCTCTGTCTCTCTCTCACTGTCCACTCTGCCTGTCAAAAAAAAAAAAAAAAAGAAAAACTGTGTGGACTTTTAAATTGCTTTGCACCAAGGTAAACATCTTTTTTTTTATTTTATTGATTTATTTGAGAGGTAGAGATACGATGAAACAGACACAGAGAGAAAGGTCTTCCATCTGCTGGTTCACTCACCCAAATGGCCGCAACAGCCGGAGCTTGGCCAATCAGGAGCCAGGAGCTTCTTCTGGGTCTCCCACGTGGGTGCAGGGGCCCAAGTGCGTGAGCCATCTACTACTGCTTTCCCAGGCCATAGCAGAGAGCTGGATTGGAAGAGGAGCAGCCAGGACTAGAACCTGGGCCTACATGGGATGCAGGCACTGCAGGTGGGCCACAATGCCAGCCCCTAAACTAAATTTCATTTTACAACAAGCCTTTTGAAGTACTTTTGTATTGATACTGAAAACATGACCACATAACCATCTTGTCAAACACTCTTTTCCTAATGTTAGCAGGCATGGCTAGCAACTTTGGGGTTTTTGTTTTGTTTTGTTTTTTAATTTGAAAACAAGGAGACGGAGATCTCCCATCGCCTGGTTCCCTTTCCAAATGCTGGCAGTAGCTGGGGCAGGGCCAGTAGAATCCAGGAGTCAGTCTGCGTCTCCTACGTGGCTGTCAGGATTGCAATGATCTGAGCCATTACCACTGCCTCCCAGGGTGCACATCTACATGAAGCTGGACTTCCGGGAACAGAACCAGAACTCAAACCCAGACACTCCAGTATGAGATGCGGGCATCCCAGGCAGCATCTGTAACTACTACACCAAATGCCTGCCCCCTAGCTGGCCGTTTCTGAATGCATGACTTTTAAATCAGTGCGCTAACCTTGGTCAGAGGCGTTTTCCAAGGAAAGCTCACTGCTTCAGTAGACTGATCACAAAGGAAGGGAATGTGGGGGAAAGCTGACATGGCAGGAGACCCCCCCCCAAAGTGTCACAACCGGAACGAAGGCAGCTTAATTCTGAATTCTGAAGAAGGTCACTATCCCACTCCAAAAGGCAGAACCGAATGCGGTTGTCAGTGATAAAAAAGAAAAAGGAACTGAAACACAAAAGCTACCTCTTGGAAACAGATTTCAAAGATTCGCCATCAAACCAACCTGTGTTTTTGCATGCATCCTTTAATGGCTCCGAGCTCATCTTCCTCAGGAGGACCATGAGTACAAACACTGCCAAAGAAACTGTCACACTCAGGCCCAAGCATGTCCACAGAATCGCGTTTGTTCCTTTCACTGAACTGGCCACACCTTGGGTAAAACAACAGAGAAAGAGCCGATAGCGTAGTTTTCACGTCAAGTATGGATTTTGTGCCATTCAGTTCCCCATAAACGCACCAGCATTGACTCTCAAATTCTAAATACCACCTAATTTGGAGGAGCTGATAATAATCTGTGCTGTTAAAAGCGTCACCTCATAAAATTGAATCCACTTCTGAATAATTCCTGTGTTCTGATAGGCATTTAAATCACTGCCTTGTTTCCTTTCTCTTCTTGATTCAGAAGATCTCCCCATCATCCCCTTAACGTTTAGCCTCTGAGTGAGCAGTCAGCATAGACAGAACACTTCAGACCCGGGCGTCACCATCCGGTACTACTTACTGGCATTACAGTAGCGCTGACATGTTACAGGAGGGGCCTTGGAACAGCGAAGGTGACAAGGTTTGCAAGTACCCAGCAGATTGTCAAAGTACTCATTCTGGAAACAGTGCTGAGACATCTGGAACTGGGTTGCAAAAAGAAACAAAGGAACCAGAAAAAGCACAGCATGGAAGGACAAGTAAAATCCCGTCCAGAATTCCCCAGCAAAGGTAGCGACAACAGCTAGAATCAAAAAACCAGTTCACGTGGCTCAGTTGGTCCTTAAGGGCGCTGTCTGTTTGCTTTGTGGCTAAGGATTTGAATACCACCCCTAATTCAAGTTCCTGAGTTTGAGGTCTGGGTGGGGTTAAGCGTGGTTGTAAATATCAGAGCAAACCATTCCTGAAACAGAAACCGCTTATTTATAGAGGAAATTTCTCAGCCAGGTGACAGTTGCAAGATGCAGACAAAGCCCTGGGGCCTCTAGCGGAAGGTTCAGACACCATTTTTGGAAAGTCTTTTTATGAGTTATTCTGTGTGATAAGCCCCAGGGAGAAAGACAAGACATGGTTTGTGCCCCTTAAGAACTTCCCATCAAACACAGAAGATGGGAACAGACTCCAGCAACCACCACGTGTAGTGGTAACTGATAGAATGTGAGAGAGGGAAGGAGGAGTGAAACCCAGCTGCCAGGTTTTGTTATGATTTTATTTATTTATTTTCTTTTTTTAAAGATTTATTTATTTATTTATTTGAAAGAGTTACACAGAGAGAGAAGGAGAGGCAGAGAGAGAGAGAGAGGTCTTCCATCCACTGGTTCACCCTCCAATTGGCCGCAGTGGCCGGAGCTGGGCCAACCCAAAGCCAGGAACCAGGAGCTTCTTCCGGATCTCTCACACAGGTGCAGGGGCCCAAGGACTTGGGCCATCTCTTACTGCTTTCCCAGGCTGTAGCAGAGAGCTGGATCGGAAGTGAAGCAGCCGGAACTTGAACCAGTGCCCACATGGGATGCTGGTACTGCAGGCAGCGGCTTTACCCACTGCGCCACAGCAGCAGCCCCTATTTATTTTCATCATTTGAAAGGCAAAGAGAGGGAGACAGAGATCTTCCATCCACTGGTTCACACCCCAAAACAGCTACAGCAGCCCAGATTGGGCCAGCTGAAGCCAGGAGCTGGGAACCATATCCAGGCCTCCCACATGGGTGGCAGGAAACCCAGTGCTCAAGCCGCCACCTGCTGCCTCCCAGGATGCACGTTAACAGCAAGCTGGGTCATAAGTGGAGCCTGGACATGAACCAGAGGCTCCCCTTTGGGACACTTCCCACGTGGTGTCTTAACTGTTGGACACGCCCTAACTTAGGCGGTTTAAAGCTGAATTGCAAGAGGTGGCAGTAAAGGCAGATTGGGGTATTATGATATAATCCATTTTCTATTGTTGAAAACTCAGAAAATACAGAGAAGCAGATAGAAAAACCATTCACGATGCAAGCGTCCAGATACAGTCGTCACTAATGCTTTCTGCATTGCTGCTGAGCTTGCCAGTGTGCTGGCCAGGTGCTGTGCAGCCGACCCCTGATAGGCCCCATGCCAGCAGGATCTCCAGATGGGTAGAGAGACGCAGTGCATGTTCCTTGTTACATGAATGGAATCACTTGAGTTTGCTTTTAGATTTTTATTCATTTATTTAATTTACTTGACAGGCAGAAAGAGAGCTCTTCCATGCACTGGTTCACTCCCTAAATGTCTGCAACAGCTGGAGCTGAGCCAGGCTGAAGCCAGGAGCCCAGAACTCCATGTAGGTCTCCCATGGGAGTGGCAGGAACCCGCATGAGCCGTCATCTGCTGCCTCCCAGGGTGCACATCATCAGGATCGGCTGCACACATCAGCTGGATCGGAAGCAGAGTAGCCTGGACTCAAACCGTACACTCACAGGTGGAATGTAGGCATAAGCGACCATCCTGTATCCCTAGCACATTTTTTAAAAACTGGAACTTAAACCTAAAAAAGATTTTGAACTTACTGATTGAAATATCAAATTTATCTGGAGACCCAGGCTATGAGGTGAGTGGGTGAGACAGCCAGGAGCTAAAAAGCAGCTGGCCCAGGAGTTTGCTCGCCAGCAGCTCCTCCAAGTGATGGCCTTTGAAGGAAAGGTCAGATGTGGGAAAAGCTTGATTAGGGATGCAGAGGAAGGACAAATGATCTCCTGTTACAACTGAGCAGGAAGAGAGTGTCAGGGGCCAGTATCGCAGCACGCGAGGCTAAGCCGCCACTTGTGACACTGGCATCCTGAGCTTGTTCAAGTCCCAGCCGCTCCACTTCCAATCCAGCTCCCTGCTAATCCACTTGGGAAGGCAGCCGACGATGGATCAAGTACCTGGGCTTCTGCCACCCAAATGGGAGACCCTGATGGAGTTCTGGCTTCTGGCTTTGGCCTGGCTCAGACCTGGCTATTGTAGCCATTTAGGAAGTGAACCAGCTAATGGATGATTTCTCTCTCTCTCTCTCTCTCTCTCTCTCCCACTATCATTTTGCCTTTCAAGTACATAAATACATCTTTAAAAATAAAAAGAATTTCAGGATGAGTTGGCAGTGAGACCAAGTTCTCTGGAAAGACCAGAGGTGATGCACTAAGGAAGAAAGTCATCGAGAGTACCAGTGGGCAGGAGCCAGATTGCAATTGTTTAAGGAGTTATTTCAGGAAAACCTGGTATGCAAGAACCAGCCACCAAAGGCAGAAGATGCCATGAGACTGAAGAAAGTCACACAAGTCCAAGAGGACGCTGAATGCGGTTTATTAGGAATTCATATAGAGAAGTATAGTCTGGGCTGCCACAGACAGGAAAGGCTAACTGAATACATCTGAACTTTCTCGAGATATATTAACATTCCAAGTGACAGGAAAAGGCATTCCAGATTATCAGTGCCCACAGAGGATCTCAATGCCTTTAATTATCCCCTAGGGTTTGGATAACTAGGTCACCTAAGGGACAAGATGGCCGATGTGCCCAAGATGGCTGTGGTCATGTCAAGCAGGACCCCTGCAGGAGTGATGAGGAAGAAGAGGTAGCTGATGGGAGCTGTGACTGGGAAGCCAGGGCAAAGCAAGGGCAGCTGTGATAACTTGCTGGAAAGAAAGAGGAATGTGCTCAGGTGCTGGAGGCCCCAGGTCCCAGCGTGTTTGCTGCACCAGCGTATGTATTCATGAAAGCCTGGAACGGGCTGGTGCTGTGGCACAGTGGGTTAAAGCTCTGGCCTGAAGCACTGGCATCCCACATGGGCGCTGGTTCTAGTCCTGGCTGCTCCTCTTCCGATCCAGCTCTCTGCTAAGGCCTGGGATAGCAGTAGAAGATGGCCCAAGTCCTTGGGCCCCTGCACCCGCATGGGATACCTGAAAGAAGCTCCTGGCTCTTGGCTTCAGATCATCGCAACTCTGGCCATTGCGGCCTTCTGGGGAGTTGGCCAGCGGATGGAAGACCTCTCTGTCTCTACCTCTCTCTGTAACTCTTTCAAATAAATAAAATAAATCTTAAAAAAAAAAAAATCCTGGAACAAGCTAACTGCTCATCGCTGGGGCCACCCAACAGAATATGAGACAGCCATCAAAAAGAAGGAAACAGATGCATTCTCATATGAAAAGTACATCGCTAAGCGAAGCATGCTAGGTACAGAACAGTACCTGTAATACACTCTGCCATGTGACCAAATGGAACAGGCAAGTTCGGCACAAACATACACAAGCAGAGGCTCTCTCTGGAGAGATTACGGAAGACTGATTGTAGTCATTGCCTCTGGCAGGAGAAAGAAGACCAGAGTAGGAAAAAAAAAGTTAATCCCTGTTGAAAAATCATTGGTACTGTTTGAATAATTTTCTTTTTAATAATAAGATTTTTGAAGAAGAATTGTGTTTTAAAGGATGGGGAACATGGAGGAGGAAAGAAAGTAGAGGAGAAGGCAGGATTCTCCTGGTGCACTCCTACAGAGGTGGCTTTTCATCACCTGTAGGTGGCTGGGAGAAGCCCAGGGCTGGCGGACCCCTCTTGATATATTGCCCAGCGCCTCAGATCTGCAGTGTGGGCTTCCAGGGACCAGGGTCATGGGGCTTCATCTTGCATGCCCTGTTCTGTCCCTAAGCATATTCTCTCTCCCACTAACTGCAAGTTTGAACAGAGAGTGCAGGCCTTGGCCTGGGGGTGGTCCATTTGCACTGCTCCCTCCTCTTCCCCGGTTTCTTGTTTGGCTCTGTCTTTGATCCTGCCCAAAAAGACCCTTTATAGTATACAGTAGGCAGATTCAATTTTGGTTGCTAGCAATCCAAATATAACAATAAAATCCTTGGGGAAGGCAAATGGCACGGGGGTTAATGTCGCTCCCCCTCTTCATGGAGGAACGACACTAAACCCTGCCTAGGCTTCATATCCGAGTCACGGCACCATTATGTCGCTCCCCCTCTTCGTGGAGGAACGACACAGGACCCTGCGCTGTTCTTTCGTCTGCTCGGCCCTCCCCGGGTTTGCTGCTGGTTCTTCCCGGGTTGGCTACTATCCCTTCCACCTCCGTGGAAGGGCAGTTCCCCCTGGCCACATTCCCCACTTCCGCAGGGGAGCGGCACACCGCCGGCCGGCTCTTCTCGGGGGCTGCACAGGTGTTCCTTCAGCTAGATGTTCCCCTTAGATGTTCCTGGTGCATGCCGTCTCTCTCCTCCTTTATAGTCCTCCTCCGCCAATCCCAACTCGGCTGCCCACACGCCGAGTACGCTGCTCTCCTCCAATCAGGAGCAAGTCCTACAGTTTATTGGTTGAACTGGAGGCAGCTGCGCGGAAGCTGTTTACTTCTCTCCCAGCACCATATTGTGGGAGAGCAGATGCATAGAATAAGTCTTAATTCCAGTAACTCAGTCCAGTCCGGATTGCTCCCCACAGGTTAAGACATCCACATTCCATGTTGCAGTACCTGGGCTCGAATCCCAGCTCTGCTCCCAGTGCTGGCCTCCTGCCAGTGCACACTTGGGAAGCAGAAGGTGGTGATTCCAGGGCTTGGGTCTCTGCCACCCACGTGGGAGATCCAGATTGGGTTCCAAGCTCTTGGCTTTGGTCTGGCCTGGCGAAGTCCTGGCTGCTGTGGGCATTTGGGCAATAAACAAGCAGATGGGAGCTGTCCTTATCCATCTGCCTCTGCCTTTCAAATAAATAAATAAATAAATAAAAAAGCTTGAGAGGGTGATGGGTAGTGGTCACGTGTGACCTTGGCTGAGTGACTTCACCTCCCTGAGATTTCCTTTCTAAAAGTAAAAATAAAAACCCTTAACCATAATAACAGATTCTTAACAGATTCTCCACTGATGCCTGAAATGTTAACCACAAACACTGGCCGGGCAGACCAAGCCCTCCTATTTGCCCCTCAAATGGTGGTGTCAGGTTAATTCTGATTCCCCTGAATGACAGAATAGCACAAACCTTCCAAGAGGAAACGGAGAAATGTGCAAAGGAAGTGAGAAGATGTCAGGACCTTTTTTTTTTTTTTTTTTTTTGGGACAGGCAGAGTTAGACAGTGGGAGGTGAGAGAGACGGAAAGGTCTTCCTTCTGTTGGTTCACCCCCACATGGCCGCTATGGCCGTGCGCTGCGCCGATCCGAAACCTGGAGCCAGGTGCTTCCTCCTGGTCTCCCATGCGGGTGCAGGGCCCAAGCTCTTGGGCCATCCTCCACTGCACTCCTGGGCCACAGCAGAGAGCTGGCCTAGAAGAGGGGCAACTGGGACTAGTAACTGGTGCCCCAACCGGGACTAGAACCCCGGGGTACCGGCACCTCAGGGGGAGGATTAGCCTTGTGAGCCACGGTGCCAGCCAGGACCTTTTTCATTAGAAATGACACAAAACCTTAAGCAACAAAAGAATCTACTGGCTTTACAGGTGAGAAATCCAATGGTAGGATCCGACTGAGGAAGTCACTCAAGTCCAACAGTGTCCCGGTTTCTCTGTCACTTGGCTCAGCAATGCCATCCTCTGAGTCATGGCTCCACTCTCAGATCCTCCCCTCATGAGCACAGAAGAGCTGCAGCACATACAGACTTCTCACCTTGTTACTTCTCAACTCTGTCTCTTGCAATCTCATCTATTCTCATGGTGTAACCCGTGTAGCCAGCTCCAGCCTTACCCCTGAAATCCAGACCCAGGTGCCAACTGCCTGCTTTGGCATCTCCACGTCGGGGTCCCGCCAGCGTCTGCACCTCAGTTATAGGAAAGCACATTGGGGCCCTCAGAAAGGAGGCTACGGCACACACTGCATTTATCAAACCCGCCTGATCGTAGCATCCCTTTATTTCAAGGGTTGCCTATGAACACTTAGGAGCATAGGTTTTGTGGAAGACAGCTGGGGAAACACTGGGCCAGGGGATCTTCATAATTCTCTCCATTTAGTTCTCAAGGACCATAATTTGGAGGTTTAACAGAGCAACAAGAAAGTAGAATAGCATGATTTTTTTTTCAAGTTTTTTTTTTTTTTGTTTAAAGTTTCCTGAGAGGGTATTTATGTAACAGCATAAGGGGTCTTGGCTGGATGACATGGGACAGAGAAAGAGCGAGAAACAGCCACCCCCTGTGAGCCCCCAGCTTTAGCCCTCCTCACTACTCCAAGGAAGCAAATCAGAGCCGCCTCCAGCTTCCGAAGCCATGAGCAGCTTGGTCTACCTGGAAAACCCCATCCGACCATCAGATTCTCTTTCCAAAATCACTAAACTGGGGCCGAGTTTTCACAGCAGAGCAATTTGACCTTTCGCCCCAACTCCAAACCAAAAGTATAGTTTCTTCTTATTTAAGGAGGGACCTTAAATTTTTTCCTTGAAAGAGGCAATCCAGGCTTCTATTAATCAGAGTCTCCGAAGACACAGAACCAGCAGGATGTATATACGGCTTCTCTCAACTTATGACGGGATTCTGTCCCATGGAACCCATCATAATTTGAAAATATCACAAATTACAAATGAATATACTGAGGCTGGCACTGTGGTGTAGTAGGCTAAGCCTCCACCTGCGGTGCCGGCATCCCATACAGGTGCCTGTCCGTGTCCCGGCTGCTCCTCTTCCAATCCAGCTCTCTGCTTGTGACCTGGGAGGACAGAGAAGATGGCCCAGGGGCTTGCTCCCCTCCACCCATGTGAGAGACCAGGAAGAGGCTCCTGGCTTCCAATCAGACTGGCTCCAGACATTGTGGCCCTTTGGGGAGTGAACCAGCATATGGAAGACCTTTCTCTATGTCCCTTCCCCTCTCTCTCTCTGTAACTCTGCCTCTCAAATTTCTAAAAGTTCTGTTTCTATAAAAAAATGCGCATACTATACCTGACACACCGCCCACCTTAGCTTAGCACACACTGGAGCATCAGTTGTTCCTCAGGGTCACACGGCCTGGGGAACAACATCTCCCACTACCCAGCATCACAGGAGGATCCTGCAGCATCTGATGCAGATTCACAGTTGAAAGTACACCGTCCCCTGCATGCACTCTTGCACCTTGGTACAGTAGAGAAATCGTAAGTCAAGCCTCTCCTTTGTAAGTCAGGAACTGTCTACACAGAGAAAGAAAACGGCTCCTGCCGTTTTGGAGTTTGGGAAGTGCCAAGACTTAACAGCCAGAAGGATGGAGACCCAGGAGAGCCAATGAGTACGATCCAGCCCAAGAACCCTGGCTTGAGAGTCAAGCAGAGCCGGTGTTTGAGCAGGACGAGAGCAGTGGCCCGCTCCAGCAGTCAGGCGGGAGTTCTCTCAGATCTGAAGGGTCAGCCTTTTTATCCTCCCCCCGCCCCCGTTCTTGTGGCTGATTGGGTAAGGCCCACCTACCTGCCCTGGTGAGGGTCATCTGCTTTAATCAGTTGCCCATGCAAATGTCGACCTCACCCGCACACCCTCACAGACACACCCAGAAGGAAGCTTGACCTAATATCTGGGCACCCTGTGGCCCAGTCAAGCGGACACATCAGCAGGCCCTTAACCACACGTCCAATCCTTGCCTTCTCTCAGATTCTCTGAATAAACTCTGGGCGATACCACCTTGGTTACTGTAGGTGCTTTGTGTTCCCGAATCCCCATCCTTGTATGGCTCCAGATAGAGTTGGCTAAAAAAACTTGACTCAAATTCCACTGATTGAAATGTTCATCACGTCTAAAAAGACACCTTCCCAGCACCGTCTAGACCAGGGACTCTGTGCCAGCACCCAAGCCATTCCCCTCTCCTGAGCACAGGGCAGGAGTGTGTCTTCATGTGTCCTTGAAGTTATCTGTGGACGTGCAGCTTGCTTTGGATCAGGGAATAGGAGCAGGCGGGACGTGTGTCACTTGAAGGCAAGAACCTTCAGAGACATTTTCCTTCTCTTGCTGTGGCAACTCCTGATACTGTTTGGTCCCCGCTCTCAGGTCTGGTTTCAAAAGGAAGAATCCATGGGGCCTAGCCCCTGCTGATCCAGGAAGGACACTATCACAGGCTAAGTGTGTATGTCCCCTAAACACTCGTATCCATTGAAGCCCTGACTCCGATTATTCTTCCCCCCCTCCATAGCACCATGCACCAAGGAAAGACCATGGGAGCACACAGCAAGAAGGCAGCTACCTGCAAACCAAGAAGTGGGCCCTCCCCAGACGCCAACTGACCTTGCAGTTCCAGCCTCCACAACCGTGAGAAATTTCTGCTGTCCAGTCTGTTTCTGCCTCCCAGTCTGTGGTGCTCAGTCACAGCCACCCAAGCTGCCCGAGGCAGGCCAGCCGCATCAGTAAGAAACACAGCCCTGGGATCTGGGTGCTGTTCGTTACTGCCCCATAACCCACAGCCTCCTGACTGGGGCCAATGCCAAAGCTGCTGCTTGAACCAGGAGGCAATACTGCCTAAATACTTCTGTATGACACAGCAGGCCCTTCCCAACACACTGTGGTCACAATGAAAGAAACCAAAACACGCAAAAGTAAGAAGAACGCGAAGGAACAGCAAACACCACACCACAAGCACGGGCCCTCCCGCGTCTCCACAAGCAGCACGTGGGTAAGTTTCTTCTTCAACTCGAGACAGAGCCTGAGGAAGGCAGGCCTCGTGCACAGGGGGGCAGGAGGAGACAGGCGGCTCAGAGCCAGGATCCAGGAAGGCAAGGAGCCCAGGTTCCTGCTGGGCAAAGCTGTCACTCTCCCCTCTCTCCCTCTTAGATCTCAGCACACCTTGCCCCGTTTGCTTGTGGACACTAAAATGCTGATTCCGTTTGGGGCCAGTTCTGTAGGCCCTTGGCTGCCTTCCCTTTGAAGGTGGGCTGCGTTGAAGTGTCAGCACCGTCAGAAGTGCTCTGCAGCTCTGCAGGAAGTTTCGGAGTTGTTTCACTTTATTTTTTAACTGTGAACTTCTACCTGGGGTAATTTTTGTCTCCACTTTTTTGCTTTTAAGATTTATTTTATTTTATTTATTTGAAAGAGTTACAGAGGGAGGTAGAGACAGAGAGAGAGGTCTTCCATCCACTGGTTCACTCCCCAAAAGGCCACAACGGCTGGAGCTGCACCGATCCAAAGCCAGGAGCCAGAAGCCAGGAGCTTCCTCCGAGTCTCCCATGTGGGTTCAGGGGTCCAAGGACTTGGGCCATCCTCCACTGCTTTCCCAGGCCATAGCAGAGAGCTGGATCAGAAGTGGAGCAGCTGGGACTAGAACCGGCACCCATATAGGATGCCGGCACTTCAGACTAGGGCTTTAACCCACTGCGCCACAGCATCGACCCTGTCTCCACTTTATTTAATTTTTATTTGGGAGACAGATTTGCACTGATTTGCACCCCAAATGCTTGGCCAGAACTGGGCCAAGCTAGCAGCTAAGAACTCAGTGCAGATCTCTCCCATGGGTGGCAGGGACCCAGCTACTTGAGCCGTCACCTGCTGCCTCCCAAGGAGTGTGTTAGCAGGAAGCTGGATTGGAAGCAGAGCTGGGACATGAACCCAGGCACTGCAGGCAGCTTAACCACTGCACCAAACACCCACCATGATTTTTTTCTTTAATCATTGACTGACTACTCCCTTTAACATTTTTTTTTTTTTTGACAAGTAGAGTGGACGGTGAGAGAGAGAGAGAGAAAGGTCTTCCTTTTGCCGTTGATTTACCCTCCAGTGGCCACCATGGCCAGCGCACTGCGGCTGGCGTACCGCGCTGATCCAAAGCCAGGAGCCAGGTGCTTCTCCTGGTCTCCCATGGGGTGCAGGGCCCAAGCACTTGGGCCATCCTCCACTGCCTTCCCGGGCCACAGCAGAGAGCTGGACTGGAAGAGGGGCAACCGGGACAGAATCCAGTGCCCCGACCAGGACTAGACCCGGTGTGCCAGCACCGCAGGCGGAGGATTAGCCTAGTGAGCCGTGGCGCCGGCCTTTGCTTCCACTTTCTAATGCATACTTTCTTTTCCTGTCATTTGCTGTCATTTAGACCCAAGAGCAACTACAAAACCATGGGCACTGAGGGCTGGCATTGTGGCACCATGGGTTAAGCCACCGACTGGAACACTGGGATCACATGCTAGAGCACCAGTTCAAGTCCTGGCTGCTGCACTTTGGATCCAGCTCTCTGCGAATGCGCCTGGTAAAACAGTGGAAGATCACACAAGTACTTAGGATCCATGCCACTCATATAGGAGACCTGGATGGGGTTCCAAGCTTCTGGCTTTAACTTGGCCAAGTCCAACCCTATGCATTGTGGCAATTTGGGGAGTGAACCAACAGATGAAAGACCTCTCTCTCTCTCTCTCTCTCTCTCTCTCTCCTCTCTCTGTCCTTCCCTCTCTCTGTCACTCTGCCTTTCAAATAAATAAAAATAAATCTTTAAAAACAAAAAGCCACAGGGCCTGCACCTATACAGAGTAACCACATCAAGCAGTCCGACTGGAATGCGGGGTCCTAGCCAAGCCCCTGTAAGGGGTCACGGAGTCGGAGTCGTGTAGCTTTGGTCACATTCCTCTGACTTGTCTGAGCTTTGGTTACTTCCTGTAAAAGGGAAACAATGCTGAGATTATCTTTCAGGAGTTGTTGTGAAAGTCAAATGAGATAATACAAGGACTTGAGGCTGTGGGGTAGGAGTGGGCCACCCAGAGGAAAAGCTGTTCAGTCACTGCTGATGTTTGTAATTGTTCTGGGACACTGTTGTTCCCTCTGAACAGGGAGCTTGGCAGGGGCTCTATGAATGATAGTCATTTTATATTACTCTAATTGTGGCTCTATTGAGATATATTTCACATACCCTAAAAAGCACTCTTTTATTTTTTTAAGATTTATCTATTTATTTGAAGGGCAGAGTTAGAAGGAGAAAGAGACAGAGAGAGAGAAAAACTTCCATCTGCTGGTTCACACCCCAGATGACTGCAACAGCCGGGACTGGACTAGGCCAAAGCCAGGAGCCTAGAACTCCATCTGGGTCTCCCACGCGGGTGCAGGGGCCCAGCGCTTGGGCCATCTTCCACTGCTTTCCCAGGTAAGTTAGCAGGGAGCTGGATGGGAACTGGAGCAACCAGGACTCTAACCAGCAACCATGTGGAATGCTGGTGTCACAGGCGGTGGCTTAACCTGCCGCACCATACCACCAGCCCCAAGAGCACTCTTTTGAGGTGTCTAACTGGTGGCCTTTAACATATTTATGGAGTTGTGCATCAGTCCTCACTTAGTGATCCCAGAACACTGCCATCACCCCAAAAATAAACCGTGTGCCCGTTAACAGTCACCACCACTTCTCCCAGCACCAGCCTCATGCGCCCTTCATCTGCTCCCTGTCTCTGGATTTGCTTCTGGGCCTTTCGTGTCAGTGAACGCACACGTGGTCTTTTGGGTACTTCTCTGTGGCTTCTTTCACTTCACACATGCTGCAGCGTGTGTCACCGCTTCATTCTTGCTATGATCCACTCTCTGGATGAGCCATGTCTGGTTTATGCATTGATCAGATCATGGACATTTCGGTTGGTTCTACTTTTTAGTTATTATGAGTATATTGCGGTCGGCGCCGCGGCTCACTAGGCTAATCCTCCGCCTAGCGGTGCCGGCACACCGGGTTCTAGTCCCGGTCGGGGTGCCAGATTCTGTCCCGGTTGCCCCTCTTCCAGGCCAGCTCTCTGCTGTGGCCCGGGAGTGCAGTGGAGGATGGCCCAAGTGCTTGCTTGGGCCCTGCACCCCATGGAAGACCAGGAGAAGCACCTGGCTCCTGCCTTCGGATCAGCACGGTGCGCTGGTTGCAGCGCGCCAGCCATGGCGGTCATTGGAGGGTGAACCAACGGCAAAGGAAGACCTTTCTCTCTGTCTCTCTCTCTCACTGTACACTCTGTCTAAAAATAATAAAAAATAATAATAATAATAAAATGAGTATATTTCTATGAGCATTTGTGTACAAATCTTTATGTGGAAGGATATTTTCAGTTTTCTCAGGTATATCTCTAGCAAATAGACTTCCTGGGCTAAATGGTACCTTTGTGTTATCAGGCAAGGCTATATCATTCAAAGCCAGAATTCAGTGTTTCCTAAAATGAATTTTAAGGAACACTGATCTTTTTTATTTTTTTAATATTTATTTTTTTATTTGAAAGGCAGAGTTACAGGGAGGCAGAGAAAGAGAGAGAAAGGTCTTCCATCTGCTGGTTCATTCCCCAGATGACTACAGTGGCTGGAACTGCACCAACCTGAAGCCAACAGCCAGGAGCTTCTTCCAGGTCTCTCACAAGGGTGCAGGGGACCAAGCACTTGGACCATCTTCCACTGCTTTTCCAGGCCATAGCAGAGAGCTGGATCGGAAGTGGAGCAGCCAGGACTCGAACCAGCACCCATATGGGATGCCAGCGTTGCACACCAGGGCTTTAACCAGCTGTGCCACAGTGCCAGCCCCAAGCAACACTGATCTTAAAATGTGTCCCAGGGGTGAGCATTTAGCCTAGCAATTAACACACTGGTGCAGGGCTGGGCGTTTGGCGAAGTACACACTACAGCACCTTAAAATACACCTTGTGATGTCCACTTCCCCAGTTGGAGTGTCTGTTCAACTTCCAGCTCTGCTTCGGATTCCGTCTTCCTGCTGTGCACACCCTAGAGGGGAGCCCGTGATGGCTCAAGTATTTGGGTCTCTGCCACCCATGGGGAGAGCCCAGATGAATTTGCAGGCTCCTGGATGTAGCCCAACCCAGCCATGGCTGTCATGGGCATTTGAGGATTGAACGAGTAGGCTGGAAACACCTCTGTGTCTGTCTCCGTGTCTCTTACTATCTCTCTGCTTTGTAAATGAAGATAAAGATATATAAATTAAAAATGTTTAAAAAGACACTAGTTAAGGTGACCAAGTCCCACAGCGGAGTGCTCAGATTGAGCTCCTGGCCCCCAGCTTCAGTCCCTGCTCACCCCCCATCATTGCAGGTGTTGGGGAATGGCCCCATGGATGGGAGCTCTCCCGCTCGCTCTCCTTCTGCATCTCAAACTAAAAAAAAAAAAAAGACTTCACGTTAATAAAAGCTAGGGAAAACGTGACCTACCAGACTGCAGAGTTGTAGTGCGTGTTCATATCGTACATGTTCTGTGAATGTCCTGTGTGGCAGCACACAGATGTGCTGTCTTTTCTCCCCATCAGCCTCACAGCCGACACTCCCACAGCAATACACAGAGAAACACTTACATAATAAGGTTTTACAGGACAGAAGAGCCTTCAGAAACGAAGACTCAGAGACCCAGGGAAAACTGTCCTTTTTCTTGTTTGTTTGTTTGTTTTCGGAAGGGAGTAGTGGTATTTATTTTCATTGACTTGAAAGGCAGAGTGAGAGACAGAAATTTTCCAACCTGCTTCACTCCCCAAATGGCTACAAGAGGCAGCAGCCTGGTCTGGACCAGGTCAAAGCCAGGAGCCAGGAACTCCATCCAGGTCTCCCACATAGAAGGCAGCATGAACCAAGCACTTGAGCTATATCATTTGCTTCTTCCCAGGATGCATCAGCAGGAAGCTGGATGAGAAGTGCAGAGTAGATTCTAACTAGCCCTCGAATATAGGATGCAGACTTCCTATGCAGTGGCTTAACCCGCTGCACCACAATGCCCAACCAAGTGTGTGTATAGCAAATAGAAATGTGATGAGACCAAAGGTCTGGTATGATGATAGATTCAGGGGGATCCCAGTCAGACGTATCTGTTCAGACTCTTCTCGGCCTTCTATGGAGTCCTTTCCACCTGGGTATGGGGCAGGACCCCTCCCAGTTCGTACATAGAAAGGTGGCAGGGCCGGCACCGCGGCTCAATAGGCTAATCCTCCGCCTGCGGCACCGGCACACCAGGTTCTAGTCCCGGTCGGGGCGCCGGATTCTGTCCCGGTTGCCCCTCTTCCAGGCCAGCTCTCTGCTGTGGCCCGGGAGTCCAGTGGAGGATGGCCCAAGTACTTGGGCCCTGCACCCCATGGGAGACCAGGAGAAGCACCTGGCTCCTGCCATCAAATCAGCGCAGTGCACCAGCCACAGTGCGCCGGCCGTGGTGGCCATTGGAGGGTGAACCAACAGTAAAGGAAGACCTTTCTCTCTGTCTCTCTCTCTCACTGTCCACTCTGCCTGTCAACCAAAAAAAAAAAAAAGAAAGAAAGGTGGCGGAAGGTTAGAGCACTATTTCTAGCTTCTACGACCTGACTTAGGGAAGGATTCTGTGACTCACTTGGGGGTGGGGGTGCACGGAGGGCAGGAGAAGGTCAGAGAAAGACTGCTTCAGAACCTTTGCAGTCTCCCCTGGCTCACAGCCCTGCTGGACAGGCTGCTGGGACCCCAGTGCTCCCCACTTGTGTGTGCCCCCGGGCCCTTCCTGAGGACCCCATGCGGAGAAGCACATGGACACATGCGCCACAGGCTAAACTGGACAGGCTTCTGTGATTCATCAGAGTGCTTCTCCAGCTAACGCGTGATGCATTAAAAGGGAATGACTATCAGTACCTTGGGAAAGAAATAAGTTTAATGGAAATGTTTACTCTTTTTTTGGTAAGATGTATTTATTTATTTGAAAGTCAGAGTTAGGCAGAGAGAGAGAGAGGTCTTCCATACACCAGTTCACTCCCCCAATTGGCCACAACAGTCGGAGCTGCGCCTGTCCAAATGCCAGGAACTTCCTCAGGGTCTCCCACGTGGGTGCAGGGGCCAAGGACTTGGGCCATCTTCTGCTGCTTTCTCAGGCCATAGCAGAGAGCTGGATGGGACGTGGAGGAGCCAGGACTCGAACCGGCACCCATATGGGCTACCAGCACTGCAGGCAGCAGCAATACCCACTATGCCACAGCGCCAGCCCCAAATGTTTACTCTTGAACTCCTAGTGGCAGCAGAGTGTACCTGTGGAACTTTTCAAATACATGGATCAAATAATTTCTTTTCCTATAGATAAGGATAAGTTTGGTCTATTGGTTAAGATACTTGTGTCCCATATCCAACTGCCTAGGTTTGATTCCTGGCTCCGCTTCTAACTCCAGCTTCCTGTTAATGTAGATTTGGGATACAGCAGAGGTGGCTCCTCTGTTGAGTTCCTGCCATTCACTGGGAGACCTGAATTGAGTTCCTGTCTCCCAGGTTTCGGACTGGGTCAGCCCTGGCCACTGCAGACATCTGGGGCGTGAAAAGGCACAGAATTCTCCGTGTCAGTCTCTGTCTTCCTGTCTCTCTGCCTCTCAAATGAATGAATGAATAATAAAATGAGTTTGTTTTCTGTCTTTGGCGTCTTAAAGAGTCCTGACCAAATACAAGTGAGCTACTTCTATGTTTCTCTGATAGGCAGTCAATCCTATCAGCATGAAAATGTTACCAATGAGCTCTTCAAATAACCAAGCTAGGGGCTGGCATTGTGACACAGCAGGTGCCACCACCCCTGATGCCAGCATCCCATACGAGCGCCAGGTTCAAGTCCTGGCTGCTCTACTTCCAATCCAGTTCCCTACGAATGCACCTGGGAAGCAGCAGCGAATGGCCCAAGTGCTTGGGCCCCTGCCACCCTGTGGGAAACCCAGATGAAGTCTCCAGCTCTTGCCTTCTGCTTGGCCCAGCCCCAACCATCACGGCCATTTGGGGATTGAACAGCAGATGGAAAATCTCTCTCTTTGTTTTTTTTGTTTGTTTAATTTATGATGGATTACAGCACTTTCAGTAACTGCAAATAATCCCATTCTTTTTTTTTTCCCCCCACAGGTAGAGTTATAGACAGTGAGAGAGAGAGACAGAGAGAAAGGTCTTCCTTTTCCGTTGGTTCACCCCACGATGACTTCTATGGCCGGCGCGCTGCACCGATCCGAAGCCAGGAGCCAGGTGCTTCCTCCTGGTCTCCCATGCGGGCGCAGGGCCCAAGCACCTGGGCCATCCTCCACTGCCTTCCCAGGCCACAGCAGAGAGCTGGACTGGAAGAGGAGCAACTGGGACTAGAACCTGGCACATATATGGGATGGTGCTGGCCCCTCTCTCTTTTTTCTTCCTCTCTCTCTTTCTCTGTAACTTTGCCTTTCAAATAAATGTTTAAAGAAGTATACTTTCCAAAATGTGCACAAAAATGTCTAGAAGCATTAGCAATTTTAAAAAGCAACTTTGCCTTTTATTTTCTTTGACACATTTGCTGTTAGCACAAATCCTTCACTAAACTTTCTGTAACTTTTGGTGCATCCCACTCACAAGAAAAAGAAAATGCAGTGATAATTGCTATTCTAAATGGGAAGTATTTCCTACTTGAAAAATCACTTTTCAGGAAATTCATGATAGAGAAGTAAACAATCCAATTTAGAAATGGCAGGGGGTTCCCTAGCCATGGCGTTGTGTTTCTAGCTTTACATTTTGACAGAACTTTCAATCTACAGAAAACATGTGGAAATATAACAGAGGGACTGGTGCTGGGGCATAGTAGGCCAAGCCTCTGCCTGCAGCGCCGGCATCCTGTGTGGGTGTTGGTCTCTGTCCTGGCTGCTCCTCTTCCAATCCAGCTCTCTGCTTATGGCCTCGGAAAGCAGTACAAGATGGCTCAAGTGCTTGGGCCCCTGCATCCGCATGGAAGACCTGTAGGAAGCTCCTGGCTCTTGCTTTCAGATCAGCCCAGCTCTGGCCGTTGCAGCCACTGGGGGAGTGAACCAGCGGATGGAAGACTTCTCCATCTGCCTCTGCTTCTGCCTCTGCCTCTCTGTAAGTCTTCCTTTCAAATGAATAAGTCAATAAATCTTTTTAAAAAGAAAGGCTTTTTTAAAATTGTATTTATTTGACAATAGAGTGCTAGAAAGAAAGAGAAAGATCTTCCATCTGCTGATTCACTACCCAAATGATTGCAACCATCAGGGCTGGGTCAGGCTGATGCCAGAAACCCAGAACTCCATCCAGGTCTCCCAAGCACTTGGGCCATCCTCTGCTGCCTTCCCAGGTGCATTACCAGGGAGCTGGATCCAAAGTGGAGCAGCTGGGATTCAAACTGGCACGCTGATACGGCATGCCAGCATCTCGGGGGAGTGGCTTAACCCCCTGTGCTACAACACCAGCTCCCTGATTCTAATTTTCAATTAAGAGCCCAACTGTGAGTCCCAATTATGTTAGTTACATGGGCTTCTGTTACCTGTTCAGCCGTTAAAATAAGGAGGTCATAGTTGTTGCTCATGGGGAAAGATGGTCAAGGCATGATGTTAAATGATGAAAGTAATATTATAAAACAAGAAATCAAATAAGATCCCACTTGCATAAAAACATACACACAATACCCACATACTCTTTCTCAGAAGTCTACTGGAGGAGTTAATAAGTAAATAAACCAACCAATGAAGGAAGGAGAAGATGTGGGATCCAGGCCACAGGAGATCCAGCTCACAAGAAAGATGGAATCCCACGGTGATGAGAAGAAAACTCTCCGCTGAACACTGGACTTGGCCGGAACACACTCCGGATGGAGATCAAGGCTCCTGGACGGCACCCTCCAAGGTGAGGCTGTAATGACGCTGTTGAGAGCAAGTGGGGACAGCTGGGGAATGTCATGGCTGGACCCACAATTAGATTGTAGAAAACACAGCAGAGGTGACAATGTGACTCATGTCAAGGGAGCAAATAAAAATTGGTCAGAAATTCAAAAACGTAGCATATTCCGTGGCTCAGCTGTGAGTAGTGGTGGTGCTGCAGGCAGAGTGAAGGGGCAGGCTTGTCATGCCCACTAGCAGTGCCTGGAGCTGAAAGACCCAGAAGCACAAGTCTGCACACGCACTGTGTCACCACAGGGAGGTCTCAGAAAAACTTGACTGTGTTTGCCTGAGTGAGGCAGGGACACAGAGGTCGAACCAAGGCCAAGAGCTGCTGCTTCTCTTAAAAGTCTGGTGGTGTGATTTGTCCCTGAAACTATGAGAGCGAGTGTCTCTTTAAATTTGTTTTTAATTTATTTAATTATCTTTATCCGAAAAGCAGAAGGTGAGAGACATCTTCCGCCCACACTGGTCCTCTCCCCAGGTGGCTGCAACATCCAGGGCTGGGCCAGGCTGACATCGAGAGCCAGGAGCTCCATCCCTGTCTCCCCCGTGGGAGTCAGGAATCCAAGTGCTTGGAGCCATCACCTGTGGTCTCCCAGATGCCCGTTAGCAGGAAGCTGGAACTGGAAGCTGGACTCAAACCCAGGCACTCCGGTGTCGGAAGAGGACATCCAAGCAGCATCTTTTTTTTTTTTTTTTTTTTATTGACAGGCAGAGTTAGACAGTGAGAGAGAGAGACAGAGAGAAAGGTCTTCCTTCCGTTGGTTCACCCCCCAAATGGCCACTATGGCCGGCGCTGCGCCCAATCCGAAGCCAGGAGCCAGGTGCCTCCTCCTGGTCTCCCATGCGGGTGCAGGGCCCAAGCACTTGGGCCATCCTCCACTGCCTTCCCAGGCCACACAGAGAGCTGGCCTGGAAGAGGAGCAACCGGGACAGAATCCGGCGCCCCAACCGGGACTAGAACCCAGAGTACCGGCACCCTGAGGATTAGCCTAGTGAGCTGCGGCGCCGGCCCAAGCAGCGTCTTAACTGCTGCGTCAAACCCTGGTCCCGTGATTGTGTATGTCTTAAAACCGAGGTTACACTAGAAATTGAACATTAACACTGTGCATTTCTGAACATTAATGCTATGCAAATTTTGTTTGCAAATCATGGAAAATACCTTGGGGGAGACACATCGAAGCAATAACACTGATGCCTGACCCTGGAACAAGCAGAACTGGGGTTCTAGGAAGAGCCGGGGTCGGGGGAGGGTGGAGCACCAGGAACACAGCTGTTCCCCTGCATCATGGCGACTGTGTACAGCGAGACTGTGCTTGTGTACCTAAGAGACGCTTCAGAAGATTTTATTTACTTATTTTTGGGAGGCTCAGAGACTCAGAAATATCTCCTATATACTTGTTCCTTCCCCCCAAATACCTGAAATGGCTGGGACTAGGCCAAGGCTGTAGCCAGGAAATAGTAAAACAATCCAGGTCTCCTGGGAGGGTGGCAGAGACCCAAAAACTTGAATCATCCCCTGCTGCCTCTCAGGGTCTGCCTTAGCAGGAAGCTGGAGTCAGGAGCCGAAGTGGGGAATCAAACCCAGGCAGTCCGCTGAGGAGCCCAGGCACCCTAACACCCACTGCAGATAGAGCAGAATAGCGGAGGCAGCCCTCTCCTGCCAGGCCTGAACGCGGTGGTGGTTCGTCTCTCATCGTCTCATGCATTCCCCGGAGTCTATAAAATCCCCCCAGAGCCTTCCTATCAAAGTCTCCCCGTGTGATTCCGAGAACCAAAGGGCCCACGACGTCTGCTGAGGTGGGGTCAGAAACAGATACACTGCAAGGCGGGAAAGTCACTAAACACCCACACACGCACATACACACAGGTGCCTTGTGTATACATGTGCACACATGTGCACACAAGTGTGTGCGCACACACCGGACAAACAGGAGAAAGCTACCTGTCTCGGGCCATTTTGTGCGACTTTAACAGACCCCACCAGGTAATTTTCTGGGGCAGAAAGTGATTTCTCGTGGCTTGAGAGTCTGGGAAGCCCAAGATGAAGGGGCTGACATCAGCTGGGAGCCTCCCAGCTGGGTGCTCCCTTGGCGGAAACTAGAAGGGCCAGAGAGCAAGGGAACACGGACCAACTAACCCTATTATAAGGAACCTGTTTTCACATTAACAAGCCCAGTCCCATGACAGTGGTATTAACCTGGCCACGAGGGCAGTGTCCACATGATCCAGTCACCTCCCAAAAGTCCCACATTGCTGCACGGTTGCCATGGGAATTAAGCTACCAGCACGTGAACTCCAGGGGACACACTGGAGTCACAATCCTGCCCGAGGTCCCAAGTCTGCCCTCCCAGGTCACCACCCTTTGGCCAACAGCCTCTGTTTCTCCTGCTAATCTTTAGAAGAATTCCTCACTTTAATAAATGACAACTGACAGCGCGCTCCTGGTGCTGGAAGCTCCGTGGGCCCGCCGTAATACAAGGCGCACGCACTCAAATTTCTCTCTTCATTCCATCACTCCCTTCCTGGCTGGATCTAGTTTTAAAACTTTCAGCCGGCACCGCGGCTCAGTAGGCTAATCCTCCGCCTAGCGGCTCTGGCACACTGGGTTCTAGTCCTGGTCAGGGCGCTGGATTCTGTCCCGGTTGCCCCTCTTCCAGGCCAGCTCTCTGCTGTGGCCCGGGAGTGCAGTGGAGGATGGCCCAAGTACTAGGGCCCTGCACCCCATGGGAGACCAGGAAAAGCACCTGGCTCCTGGCTCCTGCCATCGGATCAGCGTGGTGCGCCGGCCGCAGCGCGCCGGCCACAGAGGGTGAACCAATGGCAAAGGAAGACCTTTCTCTCTGTCTCTCTCTCTCACTGTCCACTCTGCCTGTCAAAACAAAAAACAAACAAACAAAAAAACTTTCAAAATCGAACAAAACAGCTTCAGAAACGCAGCTGAGCTCCTCACCCTGTGGGTCAGTGCCTAAGCAGAGAAGTCCCCACCGCAATCAGTCTTGGAGAACCACCAGCCGCGTTGAACAGCAGGAGCTCTGTGTCGGTGGGAAGCTAGTTACGATGTTCAAATCCGTCACATGTAGGAGACTTTTTTAGCAGCTAATGGATGTCTCCTTTATCCTACACTTGATTCCCCAAATCGGATGTGCTATAATAAAATGATGAATATATGAATAATTTGCACACATTAGATTTTGCAATTGCTCTGAAATGTGTTACTATGCATTTTGAATACTTTTTTTCTTTAATTTCCTGATTAAGAAGATTTCAGAGGGGCTGGCGCTGTGGCGCAGCAGGTTAAAGCCCTGGCCTGAAGTGCTGGCATCCCATGTGGGCACCGGTTCTAGTCTCAGCTGCTCCTCTTCGAATCCAGCTCTCTGCTATGGCCTGGGAGGGCAGTAGAAGATGGCCCAAGTGCTTGGGCCCCTGCACCCATGTGGGAGACCCAGAAGAAGCTCCTGGTTCCTGGCTTTGGGTCAGCACAGCTACAGCCATTGCAGCCATCTGGGGAGTGAACCAGCGGATGATAGACCTCTCTCTCTGTAACTCTGTCTTTCAAATAAATAAAATAAATCTTTAAAAAAAAAAAAAAAGGTTTCAGAAATAGAAAGCAACTCAGAGCCATGGTACTGATGACATGATTTTGATAGAAATGGGAGCCTACTTGAAATCTTTCATTCAGTGTATTTTTTTAAAGATTATTTATTTATTTGAAAGGTAGAGTTACAGAGAGGCTAAGGCAGAGAGGGAGAGAGAGAGGTCTTCCATCCACTGGTTCACTCTCCAAGTGGCTACAACGGCTAGAGCTGGGCCAATCCAAAGTCCGGGAGCTTCCCCGGGGTCTCCCACGTGGGTGCAGGGGCCCCAGGACTTGGGCCATCTTCTACTGCTTTCCCAGACCATAGCAGAGAGCTGGATCAGAATTGGAGCAGCCAGGACTTGAACCGGCGCCCATATGGGATGCCAGCACTGCAGGCGGTGGCTTTACCTGCTGTGCCACAGCGCCAGCCCCTCATTCAGTGTATTTTCCCTGTGCGTGTAACAACGCAAATGTATGCTTCCTGACTAGATGTTTTCTGCAAACTGTAACAGGCCAAAAAGCAAAGCAAACTGCTTTTTCATCATTTCATTTTATTTTTAAAGCTTCATGTATTTATTTGAAAGAAGAATTACAGAGAGGGAGATAGAGATCTTCCATCTACTGGTTCACTTCACAAATGGCTGCAGTAGTTGGGGCTGGGCCAGGACGAAGCCAGGAACCAGAAGCTTCTTCCCAGTCTCCTGTGAGTGTGGGAGGTGCCCAAGCACTTGGACCATCCTCGGCTGACTTCCCAGGGCCGTTAACAGGGAGCTGGATCGGAAGCGGAGCAGTCAGCAGCAGTTTAACCCACCTCACCACAATGCCAGCCGCTGGGCAAGCCAGCTTTGGGTATGGGATTCCCCCCCACCATTTTCACAGAGGACTTGTATTATGAAGCCTTGTTTCCACGCGTAATCCAAAACTCATGCTGACCTCAGTAAGGAAAGCTCACACCTACAGGGCTCAGTGATGGGCGGGACCTTGTGCGCCAAGGTTGGCCTGATCCTCGGTCCAGCTTTGCCTCAGCCGGGTGAGGCAGGTGCAATTATTACTCCCATCCCACAGATGAGGAGAGTGAGAGGTTGTCACAGCGCTTGCCCAAGGCCAGCAACAAGCACAAGCAGTCTTCAACAAATTTATGGAGAATGCATAGATAGTGAAAAAAAAAAGGAGCTCACAATTTTTTGCACCAAAATAAACTTATATTTTGACTCAGTTTTTCCATGAAATTTTTGAAGTCCCCTCATATGGGGCAACAAGAGTAAAAGGATTAGAGTAAAACCCTGAGATCAGATTTGCATTAAAAAGAGGAGGAGGTGTTAGACAGTTC